ATAGACTGGTAAATAGAGAAAGACTGTATAATATAAACTGATAAATATAGAAAGACTGTATAATATAAACTGGTAAATAGAGAAAGACTGTATAATATAGACTGGTAAATAGAGAAAGACTGTATAATATAGACTGGTAAATAGAGAAAGACTGTATAATATAGACTGGTAAATAGAGAAAGACTGTATAATATAGACTGGTAAATAGAGAAAGACTGTATAATATAGTCTGATAAATATAGAAAGACTGTATAATATAGACTGGTAAATAGAGAAAGACTGTATAATATAGTCTGATAAATATAGAAAGACTGTATAATATAGACTGGTAAATAGAGAAAGACTGTATAATATAAACTGGTAAATAGAGAAAGACTGTATAATATAGACTGGTAAATAGAGAAAGACTGTATAATATAGACTGGTAAATAGAGAAAGACTGTATAATATAGTCTGATAAATATAGAAAGACTGTATAATATAGACTGGTAAATAGAGAAAGACTGTATAATATAGACTGGTAAATAGAGAAAGACTGTATAATATAGACTGGTAAATAGAGAAAGACTGTATAATATAGACTGGTAAATAGAGAAAGACTGTATAATATAGACTGGTAAATAGAGAAAGACTGTATAATATAGACTGGTAAATAGAGAAAGACTGTATAATATTGACTGGTAAATAGAGAAAGACTGTATAATATAAACTGGTAAATAGAGAAAGACTGTATAATAAAGACTGGTAAATAGAGAAAGACTGTATAATATAGACTGGTAAATAGAGAAATACTGTATAATATAGACTGGTAAATAGAGAAAGACTGTATAATATAAACTGGTAAATAGAGAAAGACTGTATAATATAGACTGGTAAATAGAGAAAGACTGTATAATATAGACTGGTAAATATAGAAAGACTGTATAATATAGACTGGTAAATATAACTGGTGGATTTAACTGGATACAATATCTTTCTATTAGTTTTATATATTTTCTAATTTTCTCCTCTTGTGTGTATAAAGTAAATAATGTTATATGTATTTAATTTATATGATAGTGTGATATAGTTAATTATTAGGCCGTATATGTGTATAGAAAACATTACCTATTGTTAATGACATGGGGAAACACCTGACAATTTACAGAGAAGAAAATATGTAAGGTGACATAATATTTATCTTATTACGTGACGTATTTACCATCTGGTTCTTCCTTTAAATTACAAAAAAAAACCTGACGATAATAATAAGGTAAAAATTATATGATTTCCCCCAATAATTATTTTCAAAGATAATCATGAATTGACCACTGAATATTATTTTTAATTATCCTATATAAATTACTTAATGGCAGAGCAGACACTGTGGCGTAAAGACAATGTGAATTATTCTTGAGAGAGAGAGAGAGAGAGAGAGAGAGAGAGAGAGAGAGAGCACAGTATCACAAAACCCATCATCTAGCCCAGGGTAGTACAGAGTATGTGAAGTGCGTTCCAAGAGAGTTTATCGATGCTAAATAACCCGAAAATATATATAATTAATTTAAAAGAGAGGAAATATTATCATAAATAACTCGCTGGAGAGAAATGCTTCGTGATTGGTAGTTTGAATTGATAAAAATTTTAACAATGTCGGTGTTTCCCTGTGAGAAATGGATAGGTTGTAAGCTGGAGGGACACATAGGCGGTGAGAGGGTGAACGGATGTGGGAGAATGACGGCGGAGGGAATATGCTCTAAGGACATGACTGGTTCATTGTACCTTGTGTTTAGCGGTGAAGAGTTAGTACAATATAAGAATTACAGAATATACATTGAAATTTTAGCATTACAGTGAAATATTAGAGTATGATTCACGGTTCACTGTTGTTATGGTGTTAGAGGAGAGAGAAAATAAGGGGGGGGGGAAGATTATCACTATTTGAAGAAGGAAAAGTTTGATGAGAAGAAAGAGAGAGAGAGACGGGAAAACTAACTTATACAAGAGAGTTTTGAGATAAAGCGAGACAACAGGAGAAAAACTATTAGAGAATTGTAATGAAAATAGAAAATAAAATTGGAAGTAATAAGAAAACTGAGATAGCGAGAAAATAATTGTGATTTTAAGAAAGAAAGGAATGGTTTTGTGGAGTTAAATAGATGATGAAAACAGGTAAATAAGGACAAACCAACATGTTATAATATCAGGAAGAAGATAAATTAATAGTAAAAATAAATACAAATTCACACACTTGTCAAAATTTGTATAAAGGGAAGAAATCCTTCAAAATGTTGATAATAATAATTTCTTTCGTATTTTTTTGTTACATATCTCCGCCTTCCTCAACGCCAGGTAGAACTAATAAAGAGTCCTGTACAAGATGACCTTTTTAATACCTGTCTCAGAAACGGATTCTTTCTTAAACTGTAATGGATTTTCACATATATTAGACTATAAATAAACAAGTAATTACAAATACATATGTAAATAAATAAAAATAAATAATGATTAGAACGAACTGTAGATGGAATATTTAACATAGAGAAAATACATAATAAATTAAGTGAAATACAGAAAATACCCAAGAAATTAATTAAAAAAAATACGAAATAAATTTACGATGACGGAAACCAATAAATAAATAAATAAATAAATACATTACAAAAATAGTAAAACCGATCATTAAAAATTCATATATTTAAAGATTTCTTATTACATGTTATTACTATAATTTACCACCCCCCCCCCCCAACCATCCCCCTCTCATTGGTGGGTCTAATCGTTTGGGTAACCATTAGTCTGCTGGTTAACGAGTGAGACCAACTCCTTATTTGGACACTTAAAGGATGACAACCCTAAATGTGGTGGTTTGTCCTGTAGGGTGGTTTAGGCCTAGTTTGGTTGTTAAGTGGTTGTTAGAGTAGAAGAGGATAATCCAGGTTGTTAAGTGGAAATTGTTAGATATATTAGATAGTTAGTGGATAGTTAGTTAGTGCTTGCTAGTAGTGGCGAGTTTATTTATCATAATTAATTTGGAAATAAACATGTGATGGTTTGTTTGTCTGTTCTAGGTCGAATTGCTTTACTGTTTACCATTGTTTGTATACCAGCACTGTCCTATAGGTACACTGGAGATTGTATACCTCCTCGGCCTATGCAAACTGTATACCTGATTGTCTATTTACATACCGAACCAATTGTAAGCTAGTATACCGATTTGTACTGAATATCTATCTATCTATCTTGTTGTCGTCTCAGTGTGCAGGTCTATATTAATTTACTGAACAATTTATCCATGAGTGGTGTACATGATTAGGGCTTAGGAGTAGCTGTCACCTTAGGTTTTATTCAGTCAAGTTTGTGATGTGTTACGTACATGAACAAATATTTATACTATGATATCTTTAGTGTGTGTGTGTGTGTGTGTGTGTGTGTGTGTGTGTCTGTGTCTGTGTGTTTTCTATACATTTGCCAAACAAACAAATACAATCAACATTCGAGAAACAAAATGTAAACAAAACAGTAATCCAACACGGGGAAAATAACAACAACGTAAAAGTAACAAAAGCAAAAATAGTCTTCCAAAATAGCAAAACAAAAGTAACAACACTCGCAATATAAGAAACAACAATAAAACTAACATATTATTGATTGCAACAGCCACAATATATACAATAAAAACTGCCGACGTTATCAATAAATGCGGGAATAAAAGTTCGCACACACACACTCTTGATAACAATAATAAAACAAATAATAGCAAGAACATGTGCAATCTCAATAAGAACACTGGCGACCTAACGAACATTATAACAAATAAATAGAACAAATAAATACTCTTAAGATTCCCCGAACAAAAACAATAATCAATTACACTCAACAGACGCTACACTAAGGGGTATTACAAGGACAAACAAAGACAATAAGTAAAGCACTATAGTAACAAGGAGAGTTCCAAGGTCATTACCAGTATCTATATAACAAAAAAATATATTGTTTAAACAGCAACAAAAACAGTCTTGGGGTATCTGTCAACAGTAACAAAAACAACAACTAAAGTCCTACTAACAACAGTGTAGGTTTTCTTTCATTGCACTGAAGAGCATAAACTACCACAAAGGCCACTACAACAAAAACAACAAGTACAGCACGAAGGCCATCACCACTACTACAAGAACAACAAAAACATTTACAATACCAGTAACAGTGGCAGCAGCTCGTTGGACCCTACCTGGACAAAGAAAAACAAATTTACTGATAAAAGAAGCATTTACACGAGAACAAGAACAGCAAATACATTCTTAGTAGCAACGATGTTTAGGAAATAGTCAAGACAAAAACAGATATATTCCAAGTAACACCACTACACCACCTTACCAACAACCCAGGAGAAACAAGGACAAACAAGTACACCTACAGAAGACGTGGACAAGCCAGGCCAGGCACTAACCCTCCACCCCCCCCCAAGTCAGGTCCAGCGAACACTTTGTGACGCGGGTCTGATATTTTATCACAGCCAGCCATCATCCACTCGGTCACCAACACACACGCAAAGGAAAAAAATAAATAGCGTTATCTCTGCGTCTAGCTGTAAGCCATAACTCTGGAATTTGATTTACGGCTCGTCAGAAGATGGAATCAGCGAGAATTAATATCAAAATGTCAGCATAATATGTCAGTTAATGGTATTTATTTACTTGGCCTGACGTTACACTCACGCCACTTCCCCTCCGGACTTATACGTGACTGAAGGAAAAATAATGACCTGTTTCATTAGTGGGACATAAAGATTCATGTTAGGGATATTTTACACGTGGAATATAGCTCGTTGCGGTAAATTAAGTGGGCAGCCTGTGAGACCAGAGTCACCTACCAGGTTTCGGACACCATGACTCCTCCTACTGGGCGGGGCTCAAGTGACGTCAGAAGATGGCGGCCATGTGGGGGCGGAGCTATGAGGTGTTGCTGACTGGTTGGGTCGGCTTATCTATAAACGATATTGTTTAATCTGTACATGGACATCGAGGAGTGCTCTGCCTTTATACTGTTTATATGCGAGTTATCCACCAATCAAGATCAAGCGATAAGTAGCAACAGCAATGGGAATATTATCAAGGGAAGAAAAAATAAACTTAAAATACATTTTCATATGGCATCGAGACCCGGACTGTTAGCTGAGAAGATTGAGTTTCAAGTTATCAGTTGATTTTATACGCCAGTGAATTGTGTAGGTAAGCGAATTATTGGTGATTTAATGGGTTGTTTGTGAACATGCAATAACAAACACGCATCGGGCCCAGGCAGAGTGAAAGAAAAGAGGGAGGGAGTGGGAGGAGGGCCATTCATCATAAGTTCTCGTGATATGTGGTGATGAGCGCATGCGTGTCTCGTCTGTTCTCGGTGAGGATGATTCTGGTGTTTATAGAGACGTCTGTCATGGTAAGGCGGGAGGGAGACGTGATCCTCGCCACCCTGGGACGACCTGGCGGACTTTCCTGGTTCTGGACGCTGAGGGAAAATGTTAAAATTGGTAAATTCTTCTAAAGCTCGGAGGAACTGGAAAATAAGAAGAGGTAACACTAAAAACACGAATTTAATTAAACGTAATAAAGACATTTACGTATTGTACGAGCTCATAAATTGAATTAAAACAAATATATTTTTTCTGTATTTAATGTATAAAATTCTAACCTCCCAAAAGCGCCAAACCGGTAAGAATTAAATATCGCCAAGAAATCGCCGCGAAAATCCAGGCCTTACCCGCCGCCGTCACCACCGCCGCTTGTCCAGGTCGAGCCGCTAAACCCTCCCCACACGGCGACCAACAACACTTCAGCTCTCCCTCTCTCCCACACTATAATTTACACTGTATTTACGATTTAGTGTCAAGGGAATCGATGAGTTAGTGTAGTGATGCTTTAGTCGGTAAGGGAACCTGGCGTCCATCACCTTGTTGACGCTGGTGATGATGGAGCCATTTATCATGACGCGGAACCTCTCTTATTCAACCCGGGTTTAATTTTTACTTCCCTCGAATGACTCAACATCACCAAAATGTTCACACTTTATATTTCCTGATAGATCAATAAATTATAGTGATGTGAAAAATGCTTCAGATGAAATTTATGAGTAAGGATTATCATTATTGTCGTTATTTTGAGTGAGCTCGTCTTCTTATTAAAAATCACCTGTACTAAAGATGAAACTTAATAGTAATTTGTCACACGAAAAATTTGGTTTTGATAATTACTGGCATCATGATTAAAATATATTCACGAAGAGTCATGGAGAAATCATATCTTATTTATATATGACGATACAAATTGAATATTAGTAATTGAGATTTTGTACATACTGTATACCCTATTTCACTGTTTACGAGTAATGGTGTTTTGTAAGAATGTAACATTGACCAAAATATACCGACTCATCACTAGTCAAACATTACACTTTCTATATTTAAAAACTCTCACCCAAAACTTCAGAAAGATGAAACTTGTCAGTACCAAACATATCACAATCCTAAACATGCAAATTAGGAAAAAAAATACTACACTTAAGGAATTACTGATGAGAAATAATAATAACTAAAATATACAGGATGTTCTGAACTAATACACATAAATAATACAACTTGTACTTATGATAATATATAAGAAATACACAAACACATATTTATGAACATGTTATTTTGTTATTATAGAGCTCATTAGTATACTGTGATAATAACAATTACAATTATGAAAATATTAGTAATTGCCAGTACTAATGTTCTTGGCCACAGGGTCTATTACCGGGTGCCATTATGTAACGTTTATTTCTTATGTATATTTGTTATTAATAATGATAATTTTATGTTTCTTCACAATAAGTAAACAAATTATTTTAATATTGATGAATAATAAGTATGATGCTTCTTGTTTACTTGTGTTTGAGAAATAAACAAGATATATTTTTATTAATATATTCGTGATGTTTTACGGAGATATTTTTATACTGTATTACTATTATTTGTATTTTTATTATTTAATTATTATTATTATACCATCCATAACATATTACCCAAGAGTATCATTATTGTCAGTATTATTAATGATGATAATAATAATAATAATAATAATAATAATAATAATAATAATAAAACAGCCGCAACTACTACCAATATTATCATAACTGCTATAACCACTACAACTACTAGTACTACTAACACAACAACTATTACCATTATTAATACCCGTCTCTCACCATAACACCTGTAAACATTCCACAGGTGAACAAGGCATTACACACAACCAGTGTTGACGTCTCCAATCTCCCTTAAGTTGTATTTCCTCCCATTATCTGTTATTACCTCTTGCCTTCCTCCTCATTATCCTCACTTTTTTATTCCTCTTGAAATAATTACGTGTCGCCCAGTTTGTTGTCACCGTCTGAGTTTCTACAATAGTTTACCATAAACATTTATTTTGTTTATGTTAATTTATCACCTTTTTCAGTTTATTGTAATTGATTTTGGTTTTGTTTCTTCTTGTTTTTATTGTTTATAAGTTTTTAAGCTTATGATAATAATAATAATATACAATAATAATAATAATAATAATAATAATAATAATAATAATAATAGTAATGATAATAATAACAATAATAATAATAATAATAATAATAATAATAATAATAATAATAATAATAGTAATGATAATAATAATAATAATAATATACAATAATAATAATAATAATAATAATAATAATAATAATAGTAATGATAATAATAATAGTAATAATATACAATAATAATAATAATAATAATAATAATAATAATAATAATAATAATAATAATAGTAATGATAATAATAATGATAATAATAATAATAATAATAATAATAATAATAATAATAGTAATGATAATAATAATGATAATAATAGTAATGATAATAATAGTAATAATAATAATAATAATAATAATAATAATAATAATAATAATAATAATAATAATAATAATAGTAATGATAATAATAATAGTAATAATATACAATAATAATAATAATAATAATAATAATAATAATAATAATAATAATAATCACGGCAATAATAATATTACCATCACTATGTACTTATTCTCAAATTAAAAAATACACATCACAGTGCATATTTTTTTTACATACATACACACATACATAGGCCTAGTATACAAACAATTTACATACATCCATACACACTATACAAATAATTTATATACAATCCCATATCATAAAATTACTTCACAAATCACTTCACTGACCCAAGAGGCTGACACACACACTAACAGGTCTTCCGTCACAAGCTCAACACAAGCGTCGATCACCCCCTTCCTCCCTTTCCTTTGTGCCGTACAGGATCGGTTCCTAAGATGGTGACTTATGTTTGCCGAGACTTGAGATGTTTAATGTATAGATGTGTGTGTGTGTGTGTGTTTTATTTTGTTGTTTTAATGTTAACTCTGTGTTTATTTTATTTATATATTTATTTATTTATTTATTTAGTATTTTTCATTTTTCATTTGCTATTTTTGTATTTTGTAAATTAACTAATCTTGTATATTATTCACATTTAGTCATTTATTCATATATTTGGTAATTAATTTTATGTATGAATCACCAAACGAGATCAACACGAACGATTTAAAAGTCACAAAAAAGACGAAACTAACGAACATTACCACATGATTTTAATTACCTTTCAAATCATTACATATTTATTATTAATTAAACTCCTACAAGATAACAAAATTCTAATAGATGATATATAATGTTTTTGGTGTTTATTACCTGCGTCAGCTATCTCTATGAATGCCAATACTCACTGGGATAAATACTAGATAAAAAATAATAAAAGTAAAACAAAAATGATACGAGTTATTATTTGTTTAATAAGCATATAAAGATTAGTTATATATATATAAATTAATAATATAAATTCTACTGGTTGAAAGATTAAATAAAAGAGATTAGTTAAAAGATGAAGGAGAGTGTTGTTTTTATACATCAGCACTGAATAATATGAATGGCAAGATATTACAAACAAAATCTGATGTCGGATAATATATTTAAATTAACCTCAGAAATGAAGAAAATTATTAGTTAAGAAATATGAACTAAAAAAACAATATATATGTATGTATGTATGTATGTATGTATGTATAATAGAATCAAATTATGGGTCTTTATACTTAATACATGTTGTTTGAATGTCTAATACGTGACCCGGATATCTAGAATAGACTCTGGTAAGGGGTTGGTCTTAGAGTAGGTCACGGGAGGTCACTGACTCCATAACTGCATGACCTGTCTGAGAACTTACTATGGTGACCTGAGCTATCCAATGTTATCGTGTGTGAGTTTGCGATAAGGGATGTATTGATATTAGGGAGTTTGTGTTTATTGAGACAGATAGAGACTAACTGACAGATATATACATAAAAAGCACCATAGACAGACAGACAGACAGACAGACAGACAGACAGACAGACAGACAGACAGACAGACAGACACAGACACATAAACAGACAATCGGACCCACAAAAAACAGACAGACAGACAGGCACTCACACACAAAAAAACATACATACACACACACACACACAAGCACTCAAAAACACACAGACAGACACACAAACACATACAAACACTTACAAAAACAAAATTCTTCATTATATTCACACAACCTCATTACTTCACGTTAACTAAAAAATGGCAACATGGCAGACACGACACAACTTAAAATACAAACACAAAGAATATAATAAATAAAACAGAACAGCCTCCCCTCCCCAAAAAAAAAAAATTAAGAAAAGAGAAAAGGAAATCGTGAGATGAAGTCGTGAACAGCACAGGTGAGGGAATACAAGGCAGGTATACCAGCCATTAAGCCTCTGTCACCTGGCCCCCACCTGAGAAGACCCCCCCCCCCTGCTTACCTGTGTGGAGGGAGAGGTGGACAACTACGATATAGGAATAATTTTTGTATTGTTTTTTACTCGTGAATTTTAATTGATATGTAAATAGGAATAATTCTGTAGATATAGATAAGCCAGAAATACTAATTAAAATAACCTAACTTGACAAGACCTAACCTAACCTAACCTAACCTAATCTTATCCTAACATGACCTAACCAAACTTAACAAGACTTAATCTAACCTAATCTAACCCAACAAGAATTAACCTAACCTAACCTACCTTACCTTAAAGACTTCACATAATCTAACCAAGTCAAAACAAAACTAATCTAACCTTCTTGATAAAATTCAGTGACGTTAAGAATTATAATTTTGTCTTCGAGGTCTTGGGTCGGCGGGTTCGAGGTCTTGAATGGGTGCTGGTTCGAGGTTTTGAGAAGGTGTCGGTTCGAGGTTTTGAATGGGTCGGCGGGTTCGAGGTCTTGAATGGGTCGGCGGGTTCGAGGTCTTGAATGGGTCGGCGGGTTCGAGGTCTTGAATGGGTGCTGGTTCGAGGTTTTGAGTGGGTTCGGGTTCGAGGTCTTGAATGGGTGCGGGTTCGAGGTCTTGAATGGGTGCTGGTTCGAGGTTTTGAGAAGGTGTCGGTTCGAGGTTTTGAATGGGTCGGCGGGTTCGAGGTCTTGAATGGGTCGGCGGGTTCGAGGTTTTGAATGGGTCGGCGGGTTCGAGGTCTTGAATGGGTCGGCGGGTTCGAGGTCTTGAATGGGTGAGGCGATCATAGTGTTATCAGTATACGGTGTGTTAGAGGCAGCTGTATGTCGTGTTGAGGCCTAGGAGACGGTAACATGACCCTAGTTAGCTGTGGTGATGGTTGACATGCCCTGTGTGGTGTGGTATTGGTGGTTGTTTTACTGTTTGTGGTTGTTGTTTACTGTTGTTTACTGTTCATGGTTGTTGTTTACTGTTGTTTACTGTTCATGGTTGTTGTTTATTGTTTATGGGTGTTTATTGTGTATGGTTGTTGTTTACTTTATTATGCTCGATGTTTACTGTCTTATGGTTGTTGTTTACTCTTATGGTTGTTGTTTACTGTTTATAGTCGTTGTTTACTGTTTATAGTCGTTGTTTACTGTCTTATGGTCGTTGTTTATTACATATACTTGTTTATTGTCAATGGTTGTTGTTTACTTTCTTATGGTTGTTGTTTACTGTCTTATGGTTGTTGTTTACTTTCTTATGGTTGTTGTTTACTGTCTTATGGTTGTTGTTTACTGTCTTATGGTTGTTGTTTACTGTCTTATGGTTGTTGTTTACTGTCTTATGGCTGTTGTTTACCGTCATGGTCGTTCATAACACAATAAATGCCACAATAACCGGACTATTTCTAACCAAACCTCTCCAATAACCGGATCATCGTAGACTTGTTATTCAATCTCCCGAAATTTGACGTTGCCTTAGTTAACATTTCAAGTGTGTATTTTATGCTTTTTTATATAGATACACAAAACACCAATGTATATCTATACTGTATTATACATCATACTGTATGTGTATACTGTAATCAAATCCTGTGTAGTGTATCGTTAAATGATTATTATGTGTGTAATATCCTGTATTATTCTGTAATCTGTAATACGCAATTTTTAGTCTAATATCAGAGATCCGAGGCCAAGGAAGCTTCCAAGACCAAAAACACTCACACATTCGACCAAAAGACCGAAAAAAATGATCTGCTTAAGGGAATTATTTGTCCGGTAAAGAGAACCTCATAAATTATACCGGAAATTACACTTAAATGGAACCATCCGTACAGCGATTTTTCCTGTTAAGGGTAGACATTACTGTACGGTCTCCTAGAGGTGGCGCTGTGTAACAACCGGTGTTTGTCTATAATGTTATACCGTAGAGAGATGATATGCTCTTTATGCTATACTGTAAACTGAGGACATTACCTATAATGCTATACCGTAGAGAGATATGTTCTCTATGGAGTCTATGCTATACCTTACATTGAGGACATTACCTTTATTACTATACCGTAGAGAGATATGTTCTCTATGCTATACCATAAACTGAGGACAATACCTATAATGCTATACCGTAGATTGATGATACATTTTCTATGTTATACCGTCTTGTCATTGATCATGTACGTTTTGTTGTGTGCATGTGCGTTTCGTGCGCAACCATGTGCGTTTTAAAAGTCAAGAGACGCCTTTCCCATATATTGAAGTGGTGTGTATTTTAGGAAGACAGGTTTAACTGATGTACACATGTGCGTTTCGTAGACGTATACGTGTGGAGGATACACGTGTCTTTGGTACCCATGTGCGTTTTGTCAAGGTATGTGTGCATGTAGCTGATCCATGTGTGTGTGTGTGTGTGTGTGTGTGTGTGTGTGTGTACAGATCGTGTTAGGCGCCACTAAAGCTCCACCTGTCTCATGACTAATTAACAAGCTATCTTTTCTCTTCTTAACTGCTACCTAGTTTGTCTCTCACTCCTACCTCACCTGTCTCTCTTCTCTCTCTCTCTTACCCAAGCCTCTTCTCTCTCTCTCCTACCCAAGCCGCTTCTCTCTCTCTCCTACCCAAGCCTCTTCTCTCTCTCCTACCCAAGCCTCTTCTCTCTCTCTCCTACCCAAGCCTCTTCTCCCAAGCCGCTTCTCTCTCTCTCTCACTCCTACCTCACCTGTCTCTCTTCTCTCTCTCTCACTCCTACCTAGCATGCTTCTCTCTCACTCCTACCCAAGTCGCTTCTCTCTCTCTCTCTCTCTCACTCCTATCTTATCTCTCTTAATTCTGTTTCTCCCTACCTCTGTCTTTATCCCCATTCTCACCCATTCTTGTGTGTTTCTCCTCTCATTCTCTCCTGCCCCTTATTCTCTTTCCAATACTGTCTCTCTATTCTCCCTCTCATTTTCATGCAAATTTTATGCTCCTTTCTTTCTTTGTTTCATTACTTATTCTCCCCTTCTTTCTCTCACCCTTTATTCAGCTTCTCTTTGTCTCTGCTTCTCTCACCTTCTATTCTCCGTCTCATTTCTTTCATTTTTATTCATTCGTTGTACTATCTTTATCATTTACCACTTTTCATATCTTTTCCTTTTCAATTTACAAAAGACTACGATGAAATGCGTAAAACTTCACAGAAAACGGGAAAGGTAAGTGGTGACGTCATAATGTTAATTGGCTGTTAGCTCACCTGCATGACGTCACGAGTATTGATTGTGGTTACAGATGGAGGGGGTGGGAAAGACAGCTGCCTCCCGGGTGTATGGATGACTGGATGGATGGTTAGATTGACTGGATGGCTGAGTGGATGGTTAGATTGATTGGTTAAAGGATAGATTGTCAGGTAAATGAATTGGTAAACTGACTAACTGATAGATGGATAGACACGGATAGGTAAAATAATTATCAGACAGGTAGATGACTGGATATAGAAATAGCCAGACAAAATATAAGTGGAATAATTTATCTCCTTTAAAATATTTCACAAACTAATAAACTCATAAACTACTAAAAGAAAAAAATAACAATCTAAAAGTATAATATTTCGAAAGTTTATAAATTATTTCAAAAACATAAAAAAATTTCAAGTATGATACGTGTAGTAATAAAAATCTAGATTACTATCATCATACTAATATCACCTGTCCAAGATATCGTTTCATATATATGCAAATCAAACCCACATATGCACACCTGGGGAATACTTCACACTACACATATTCCTGTTAAGTATTTAAATTTATCCAATGTCACTTAATAATTCATAAAGATATAAAAATTTCATGTTTTTTTTAAGTATCTGATGATGTTTTACAATTACAAAATCTCTTATTACAGTAATATCCTGGTGATTATAATACCATGATGTAAATAAGCTATTAATGTTATGTGAGAATATTATCCGTTGTATTATTTTTCACTGTAATATTTCAACGTCAAGAAGTTCATTAACACGTAAGGTTATAATGGTCTGAATGTCTATATATATCTCATTAATTTTCTCTCAATAAACAACTACGACATAATAAATGGTTCTCTTCTTTTATTTATATATTATGCTATGGTTAATAAATCATTCAACATTATTGTATTTCGATGTATTTTTTTTTCTTTATTAATAAATTTCCATAACTATCGTGATTGATGTTACATTCGCTGTTAAAATAAATGTTTAGTTATTTTTGTTAATCTTATAATCAACACGGGTGATTTTTCTGTTTATTGGTGTGATTTAAATAAATTCATATATACATCTTCTTAATAATGTTATTTTATTTCACTAAGGTCTAGTAAATAATAACCAATAATTTCTAGTACAAAACAAAAGCTAATTTAAATTTATCTTCTTTTATTATTGGGTAAATTAGCGTCTTTAGTATAAGTTTTATTTTAATGGTAATAAATGGTATTCAGGTGAAATTTATATCCAGTAAAAAAAATAGAATATAGTTTTTCAAGAAAGTATAAAAAGCAGTGAGTGTGAGTGAGTGTGTCTGAGTATGAACTTATATCTGGTATCAGTGAAGTATGTCTGAGTATGGGCTAATATCTGGCATCACTGAAAGACACCTCTCCTTAACGGAACAAACTATTACCTGATGTTGTTATAAATTAGCTCGTTATCAGGTAATGTAATCTTCCTTAACATAAATTAATTCAACCTTTATAGATCAGTTCACTCATTCTCGAATCAAATCTTTCTCGACTCATTATTCTTACATTACTAACAAGGTATTTCATATAAAGAGGGTGTTATTATGGTTGTTGGTGTGTCTAGAGTAACTATCAACCAAACAACCTAACATATGTAAAAATCTGGTTGATGGTTTTGGGGGGGCTCATGTCAGTATAAGGTCAAGTAAGGGTTCGAACTTGTGGGTTCATAAACTGGGATTGGATTCAAAACATCAAGACCATGAACAATAAAGTGGTTTGTTATTCAGCTGTAATGATTAAGCGCTTCCTGTCGTGAGAGAGAGAGAGAGAGCAAATGATCACACAACAAAACACTTATATAATCAATCTAACTTACGGCAAAAGTCAGTCAGTCAGTCAGTCAGTCATGAAGCTAAAACAGACAGACAAATACTTAAAACAAATATATATCAAGAAATTGTCGTAACATACCAGGTGTAATTCTTAAGCAAGCAGCGGCGGTCATAATAACGCAAAAAATACGCCATTAATTACGGGCGCGCACCACTATTTATGCTGCTGGAAGTGCATTGTAACTCACCCCACTCAAAGACCACTCCTTATAAATTATCCCGTAACTCTAATTGTTATTGTATTTTCTTATGGTTGTTAATCCTGAGCTTCAAGTCATTCAAGTTTCATATTAACTTCTTGTAAATTTTCCCATCAAGTCTTTCATGAAATACCCAGGCTTTGTGTTTTAACTCAACCAAGTCCATTTACAAGACCAAATACTGTTGGCTCTCTCGTAAAATTGAATGTCACACGAACATATTATTATTTTCAGATTGTTTATATTTTTCATTTCGTTTACATTTACGAATTTTGTTTACATTTTTCACTTTATTTATTTCACTGTTTATACTTTTAACTGTTTACATTTTTCACTTGGTTATAATTTTTTTTCACTTTGTTTATATATTTTTTGCTGTTTACATTTTCACTTTATTTACATTTTCTACTTTGTTTACATACACTCGTGCGCGCGCATTTCTGCTTCCCTTTAAAGTTAATCTCTCGTAAGCTGTTTGTTCGTCCGGCCGTAACAAAATGATCTAGTAAGTCAAGTCGTAAAGTATATTATTTCTTAAGTCTATGTCTTCCTTACGGCAGTTCTTCCTCTTCGTCTCTCTCTCTCTCTCTCTCTCTCTCTCTCTCTCTCTCTCTCTCTCTCTCTCCTCGTTCTTTCCACGTTATTCATTGTCGCCATATTATCCTATCTTATATTATTAGTAAATCTTGTCGACACCATTTTTATTTCCAGCTCTTGCATATATTTTTGTTATTACCAATTATCGTGTCTCCCTCCATGCACCCTAATCGTTAATGTGTTATATTCATTTTGGTGATTTTCATTATCTCTTGTTTATTACTGTTTTATAAGTTCTTCTTCCTATTATTCCTGGTCTTCCTTCTTCCTCTTCTCTCCTTCTCTTCCTTCTTTCTCTGCTATCTTCCTCTTCCTAATCTCCCTTTCTTCTTTTCCTTCCTCTTATTCATTCCCCCTACTACTTCCTCTTTATCCTTCCCCCTACTCTTCCTTCCTAATCTTCCTTTCTTCTCTTCTCTCCTTTTTTTTTACTCCTCATCTTCATTCATTCCTTCCTTCTCCTCTACTTTCCTCTTCCTGATCTTCAATTCTTCTCTTCATTTTTCTTCTTTCTCGTCAATCCTCCTTCCCCCCCCCTACTTCTCCTCTTCCTACTCCTCCCCCACCTACAGGAGCGGCACCACCCCACAGGCTTTGGCCCCTTGACTTGAATGTGTTTACCTGAGGCATATTTCACCTGGTAGAGGCTGGTGGAGGCTCGAGGTGTAGGGGAAGAGTTAAAGACGGAGACAGACAGACAGACACAGATAGTTAAACAGGGATATTATAATGCCGAAAGACAACAAGACAGACGGAAAGAGTCGGGCAGATAGACGGACAGACAGACAAAAACAGATATACAAAATTACAAGAAAATACCCCATCAAAATAGTAGTAGTATAATGCAGTATTTTAAAGAAGTATAGCGTAAGAGAGCATGGTGTAGAAGTATAACGTGGTATAGCATATAGGCAGGTGGGTATAAACAGTCCTGCCTCCACTTTACCAGTAAGAAACATGAAGATTACTTTTGGAAATTTGATGTATTTTTCCCATCTATATCTCCCAAGGCTCTTATTTCTGTCTCGTCTTCTTCAGGTTATCTACCCGGCGGTCGCTCTTCCCCCGCCCCTGCCACCGTTATGGGCGTGGGCGTAAAGTGCACGAGCGCTGGATCTACGCCACCTACGCCCGCGCCTCCAACCCTCTGCTCCCCTATCTCTCCCGTCCTTAAAGGCAACCTCACGCCCACTCCTGACGACGACAATATCGAACCCGACGTGGACGTGACGGACGAAGGGGAGCTGGAGGGTGAGAAGGGCGTGGGTGGTGAGGGTGGTAGTGAGGGTGGTGGTGGAGGCGAGGGAGACGAGTTTACACCCAAGAAGAAGCAGCGCCGTTACCGCACCACCTTCACCTCCTACCAGCTGGAGGAACTGGAGAAGGCCTTCGCTCGCACACACTACCCCGACGTCTTTACCAGGTAAGTAAGTTACCCCCTCTGGTCTCGGATTCGGGTTTAAACTGAATCACTCTCTGGTCTCGGATTCGGGTTTAAACTGAATCACTATCTAGTTTCAGATTCGGACCAAAACTGAATCACTCTCTAGTCTCGGATTCGGACCAAAAGTGAGTGTTATCATAAAAAAAAAAATAAAATAAAAATAAAAACTCGGAACCAAAATATCTCAAATTCTGGTCCTTAAATAAGAAAGTGTCCCTGTAGTCTAACCTTTACAACAGGCTAATGTGTAGGTCCTGTTGTGGTCTATGACGTGTAATGACTATGATTTTTGTTCTCCAAGATGTGACAAGGAGAGAGAGAGAGAGGAAAGGAGAAAAGGAGAGAGAGAAAGAAAGAGAGGAAGGGGAGAGAGAGAGAGAGAGAGAGAGAGAGAGAGAGAGAGAGAGGACAAAAGACAAGAGAAAAGGAGAGAGAGAGAGAGAGAGAGGAAAGGAGAGAAAGAGAAAGACATAAAGAGAGAGAGAGAGAGAGAGAGAGAGAGAGAGAGAGAGACTGTAATCTTCAACATGGTCTCGGGAAAGTACTAAGATTACTGTATCAAACATCTTATCCACAACATCAGAAGATAGTACAGATAATAATATAAGAAGAAATGGCACTTGAAGGTACTCGTTATATCACCATTAACTTGATTCAGTTCAGTGTTTCTTTTGTACCTTAGGTAAAAGGACAATTAGATTTGTCTCGTATTTTTTACATACATTACATTACATTACATTACATTACATACATACATAGATACATACGTACATTACATTACATTACATTACATACATTACATACATACATACATACATAACATTTATATACACACACACATTATACAAACACCCACACACACGGTACACAATTGAATGGCTGAGTCCTTCCATGCACATACATATTTCATGACTATACAGACGTCAGGCATTCAGTACACATGGAATTTATCACACACACACACACACACACACACACGAAAACCTTAGCAATTCACCTTACATCGATCGGAGTGTGTGTATGTGTGTGTGTGTGTGTGTGTGTGTGTGTGTGTGTGTGTGTGTGTGTGTATGTGTGTGTGTGTGTGTGTGCGGGCGCTCTAACGAACATAATAAAACCTATACAGACATACATACATACATACAGACATACATATATATACACATACATACATTCGTTATTCTTGTGAGTAAAGGCATAAATATCCATGAATATATTTTTGTCCCACTGTGATAAACAACCAAACTTTACTCACCCACATCAACCCACTCACCCACCAACATCAACCCACTCACCCACCCACATCCAACTCCACCCCACCTTACATCCCCTCACCCCACCCACATCAACCCACTTAACCCACGCATCCACTCACCCACCCACATCAACCTATTTCACCCCACCCACATCAACCCACTTAACCCACGCACATCAACCCACTCACCCACCCACATCAACCCACTCACCCACCCACATCAACCCACTCACTCAAATGGCCCCACTTAACCCACCTACATCAACCCACTCACTCAAATGGAACCACTTAACCCTACCCACATCAACCCACTCACTCAAAATCAACCGCACTCAACCACATCAACCAAATTACCCTTTGTTAACTACGATTACTCTCTTGACCAGAGCTGTACACACACTGATTGGCTCAACACGACAAGGACCCCATTAAGCAATAGAGAGAGAAAACAGTGATCTTATATCTTTACGAGTTGTTAATACACACAGTAACGACCCAACCCAACCTTCAATTACACCACTTTGGGTTAATTATATACAAACCCTTTTTTATAACCCGTTTCTATAACTCTTGAAAGAAGGTTTATATAATGTGTGGTTATTTCGATATATTTTTGTTACAACTTTTATAACTTACAATTGGTTAGGTTAGGTTAGGTTAGGTTAGGTTAGGTTAGGTTAGGTTAGGTTAGATTAGGTTAGGTTAGATTAGGTTAGAATCGTTTAAGTTTGGCTCGAAAATGAATCCCAGAATATCGAACCAACGACCATAAGGACAGAAAGACAGCAATCTATCCACTCAGCCACCGCACCCCACAAATTTGCGTTATAGTTGGTGGTATGGCTTACTAGGACTGAAACTAGCTTGACTATTGGTTGACTGTCATTCCATGTTAATAATCTACCAAATACTGGATTAAAACTTGTGTTTTAATCATTAACAAAACTTCCGATACTGTAACTGACTGCTGGTTAATGTGTGTGTGTGTGTGTGTGTGTGTGTGTGTGTGTGTGTTTAGTCAGAGTGGTAGTCTTCTACAATTATACACGTAACTACACTGTTAGCGATGATTAGAGGTTTAATTGTATTCTTGCGGTGGTGTTATTGTGGTGTAATGGTTTAAATGTGGCACTGTTGATTTTATTGTGGTGTCGTGGTTTAAATGTGGCACTGTTGGTTTTATTGTGGTGCAGTGGTTTAAATGTGGCACTGTTGGTTTTATTGTGGTGTAGTGGTTTAAATGTGGTACTGTTGGTTTTATTGTGGTGTAGTGGTTTAAATGTGGTGTTGGTTTTATTGTGGTGTTGGTTTTATTGTGGTGTAGTGGTTTAAATGTGGTACTGTTGGTTTTATTGTGGTGTAGTGGTTTAAATGTGGTACTGTTGGTTTTATTGTGGTGTAGTGGTTTAAATGTGGTACTGTTGGTTTTATTGTGGTGTAGTGGTTTAAATGTGGTACTGTTGGTTTTATTGTGGTGTAGTGGTTTAAATGTGGTACTGTTGGTTTTATTGTGGTGTCGTGGTTTAAATGTGGTACTGTTGGTTTTATTGTGGTGTAGTGGTTTAAAGGTGGTACTGTTGGTTTTATTGTGGTGTAGTGGTTTAAATGTACTGTTGGTTTTATTGTGGTGTAGTGGTTTAAATGTGGTACTGTTGGTTTTATTGTGGTGTAGTGGTTTAAATGTGGTACTGTTGGTTTTATTGTGGTGTCGTGGTTTAAATGTGGTACTGTTGGTTTTATTGTGGTGTAGTGGTTTAAAGGTGGTACTGTTGGTTTTATTGTGGTGTAGTGGTTTAAATGTAGCACTGTTGGTTTTATTGTGGTGCAGTGGTTTAAATGTGGTACTGTTGGTTTTATTGTGGTGTAGTGGTTTAAATGTGGTACTGTTGGTTTTATTGTGGTGTAGTGGTTTAAATGTGGTACTGTTGGTTTTATTGTGGTGCAGTGGTTTAAATGTGGCACTGTGGTTTATTACTGCCGCGCTATGCTTTAATGATGCGCTATGCTTTTCCTGTCATGCTATGCTTTAACTGCCACGCAATATTTCTCCTGTTCACCCTATGCTTTTACCGCTACGCTATGCTTCTACTGCCATGCTATACCTTTAGGACGGCGCTATGCTTTTTTTTGTTTGTCAAGTGGTGCTTCGGGATAACAGAAGCTTTGTGATTTGGAATTTTCTAATGTTTGTTCCGGTCTACATAGCAACATTGTTACCTTGATTCCTTAATGTTCCTTTATAGCCCAGCCAGCAGTGTTCATAGTCAAGCGGTTAAATCATCGTACTCAAAGGGTTAAAATAATTATCGTACTCAAAGGGTTAAATTATTGTACTCTAAGGGTTAAATTAAAGTACTCAGGGGTTAAATCACCTGACTCAAAATTTTCGGATCATACTCTCCATGATAGTGTTTATCCCGGTTCATGACTCCCAGTAGGTGGCCCGGTCCAGGTTATATTTCGGTATACCCGGTCCATGTCTCCCGGTTCAGGTGACGACCCGGTACACCTGGTCTATGACTCCCGGTAGGTGTCCCGGTCCAGGTGATGGCCCGGTAGCTAGACACACGAGCTGCCTTATCGTAAATGCTTCATGCTCGGAGTTATAATCGGCCTCATTATATGTCGTAAAGTTTTATGGGCTGGAGAGGGAGATAGGTAGGGGAGGGTAGTAGGGGAGAGGAAGGAAGAAGGGGGGGTGGAGGAGAGGAAGGAAGGAAGGGAGGGGAGGGGAACGAAGGGAGGGGAGAGGAAGGGAGAGTGAGGAGATGATGGATAGGAAGGTATGTAGGGTAAGGAGGGAGTGCAGAAAGAGAAGGGAGGAAAGATGGAGTGGAGAGGGTAAGGAGAGGGAGAAAAGAGAGAGTAGGGAGGGAGGAGAGGAGAGGAGAGGAGGAAGGAAGAGAGAAAGGGTGGGAGAGTGAGGAGGTAGAGTAAGAGAAAAAATAGGGGGTAGGAGAGAATGGGGAAAGGAGTGAGGAACAAAAGAAGAGGAAAGGGAGTGGAGAAAAACGTAAGAGTAGGAAAAAAGAAAATGGGAGGAAAGGAGGGAAAGAAAAGAAGAGGAGGAGGAGATGGAAACTAACACCTTAAACTCACCCTTTCCCATCACACCAACACACTCACTCACGCTCACACACTCACACATTCATGCACACACACACACACACACACACACACACACACACACACTATATAGCATCATCTGTCATGTTTGGCGACGGTGATGTTGACAGGTAATTGTTCACGCCGTCAACACCTACACCTGTCAACCGTGTCTGTCATACCTATAAGGGGTTTGTTTCTGAGGCGGTAGATATTAAGGAAAGGAAGGAGTGTATGGGAAGGAAGGAAGGAAGTGTGTGTGTGTGGGTAGGAAGGAAGGAAGGGAGAGTGTGGGAAGGAAGGAAGGAAGGAAGGAAGTGTTTGGAATGATTGGGTATGCAAATTAGTCCTGTACCGTATGCACTTAAGTACATCCTCTTTCTTTCTCTCTCTTTCACACACACACACACACAACACCGTTCTCTAAAGTGTGTGTGTGTGTGTGTGTGTGTGTGTGTGTGTGTGTGTGTGTGTGTGTGTGTGTGTGTGTGTGTGTGTGTGTGTGTGTGTGTGTGTGTGCGTGTGTGTGTATGGGCGTGTGCTTGTATAGACAGTGTCACCGTCAATACCACCACCTCTTCCGTCCCTAACAACGCCCATAATGATAAAATATGCGTTT